AATTTCCTAGGCATAAATGCTAGTTGTGACATCAACCCTGGGACTATCAGCAGTCATGAGGACAATCAGCAGTCCTACTTACCACATACACCTCAACAATATAAACAATTATATGTTATCAGCAACCCTAGGACTATCAGCAGTCATGTTGGCTCAAAGCAGCCCTATATGTTATCAGCAACCCTATGGGTTATCAAAAACCTTATGAACTATCAGTAGTCCTTGAATCGTCAACAATCTCAATGACACATATAATAGCAATCAACATACAAGAACATAAACACATGCGACTATCTACAGTATTGTACATGTCTAACATCTCACTACCACATTCCGGACTTCACTGAATACTCTACATCACCAATGATAGATCACTAATGAATGCATATTTATATGTAGTCAGAGCTGATTTAGATAGTCGAATAAGTGATCCCACTCTAGAGCCACAACTAAACAAGGAATAGGCAAGAAATCGTAGATTAAGAGTTCTCAAGCTATCCTACGTGACTGTATACAAACCCTAGAGCACTCAACTAGACAATTATCTACCTCCTGGTACTCTAACCAACATACCACTACCCATATGTCAATATAAACAACAATGGGTTATTAGCAACCCTGTGGACTATCAGTAGTCCTGGAGTTATTAGCAACTCAGTAAATACTCATAACATTCATTAGCTACTAAGACACAGCTAGTCTAACATGCATCATACTATGAGATAGGTAATACAGTGAGAAAAATCATTTGAATTGAAGACCCAAGAAACACAACAACATGCTCACTCCCTACACTGATCTCTCCTACGAATCGACTATCACCAAGAAAAGGTAAAACCTTAATTAATAACCCAATTCCTTCAAGTTTGATCCAAATTCAAACTGGTCAAAAAGTCAATGATCAACCTAGTCAACCCCCACCATGACATGGAGGACTCTTAGCCACGTCATCAAGACATCAGAACAAACAGTTGCGGAGCTGAGAACCACCACGCCATGGCAAGCCCATTGCCATGTAGTGGGAACTGGCATATTGCCATATTCTTCATTAAGTGCTTAATCACTACAGATCTAAGCCCAAAACTTCAGATCTACTTCTTTTCAATGACTTAATAGATAAAGATTCCAAAATTATCCATTAGGAATCATTTCTAAGGCTAGATCTAGAACCTTAATTCTATTAAGGCCTTAATGGGGCCAAAACTTGAGCATGAACACAAGTGACTCTAATCATGGCTCCTTTTATCACTTTTTAGAACATAATGACAAAACGAGGCCATACGCAAGCTCTGGAGTTCTTCAACTCCCAAAGCATACAAATAAAGGGACCAAAATCCTCTAAAATGAGCTCATACTTGAAACAAAAAGAATAATGGCCAATGTATGAAATATATACCTCCAAAAACTTAGATTTTTGAAGAGGATGTTGGATCTAAGCTTGTTCTTTGTTACCTTGCTGTCATACCCCCGGCTGAGGCGGCAAAACATGTCAGGATGGGGACTAAGTTCATGGATCACAAGTAAACCGAATATATAGCACAGGTACAACAATAAACAAAACAACATTTGTATTCTATCATTAAATCTAAATACATGGTTCTTACTGATAATAATAATAATAAATGAATTGCCTTAACGGGTAGGAAGACATAACAAAAACTAGTAAACTTGATTTCCTGGAATCCATGATTATCCATCGTCTGAATGCTTGAATTACTGATTCCCTGAGGATACATGTAGTTTTGAGGTCAACACAAGGTTGGTGATAGATACAGGTTTTCTACTAACAACAATGATATTTTTAAAAAGTTTAAAAAGTATTTTCTTTGTAAGTGTAACCATACTTAAAACAATGTTTGTAAAGAGTCTTTGTATAAGTTTTGAAAACCAAAACGTATTTTTGCATAAGTAAATCCACACTTAAAATAGTTTTGAAAGCAACCAAGCCCATGGTTTGTAGTAAGTGAGAGAGATTCTACTTAATGTTTATAGTGAGTCCTATAACCGAGCTATGTAACTGAATGTACCCCTCTACAATGCTTCATAGTACATCGTAGTAACGATAGTAGATACATATCACCCGCTTCGATTGATCGGTCGAGGTTGTAGTTAGCAACTGTAGGTAGGGATGTCAATCCCGTATAGAATTTATAAAAGATGAGCATAACTGGTATGCATGTATAGTATAAGGTACTTGCTTTTATAACAAAATATGTTTCAAGAAATGTTCATGTATAAACTTTGCACATATACATGTATAACTTAAATCCTTAGAAATATTACAAAGTTTTATGACGTGCTTTTTATGGCATACAATGTCGTTTTATAGTAAAAAGGCATATGTTATTTTTATTACTTTTAAGGGCTACCCTAGCCTAACCACCACACAGATGCCACCCAATGACCACTGAGTCATCCTACTATAAAAGTGATCCAATACCTTGCTCAAGCCAATTCCCACCGCGTCTCACCCACACTATCATAACCCAACGGGCCTCGCCCATGGGACTCAACCAGTCGAGTGCTGCTCAGGCCCAACATCTCCTCAGATCCAACGATGCTCTTACTAAACAAGGAATAGTCCTCCACCGATACTATCTGCCCTGACCCATGCATGCGCTGATCCTTCCTCAGCCTAATGACTACTCTTACAATGGCCTACCTCATTCCGATGAATGATACGACTACATCGCAGACTTACAACACTTCCCTGAGAACCTATCATCCTTGTGTATGCTACGACTACCCCGTAGTCTTACAACACTCTAATATATGCTATGATCTGACTCGTGGTTTTTGTCTCCATCTACCATACCAACCCACAATAAAACATGGGACAAAACCACATTGACTGTATTCCAATTAGGTGTTCGGGTCATGCTTCGAACCCTAAAGCCTTCATCATACAAGAACATGTAGAGTGGCTCTAACACAACTATCAAACTGGATCCAACCACATATCTGTTATGCATCACTACGAATGTGCCACACTATAGTTGAAAGTTCCTGACCCCCAACCTTGTGCAATCTCTATCTAGACGGCCACTTGAACTGGCTTCCCTATCGACTAGGGCATGGAGCAGCTTCTTGCTCCGCACCTGATTCAATCCTAAGAAATCCAAACGGCTCTCCCCTACTTGGATTCAACTATACCTTGCCAACCTTACTAAAGATAATGAATGATGAATCCCTTAACCAGAACTGACGGATCATCAACCCAATATCCTACTTGCCGAAGGATTTATGCATTCTAACATCTTAAACCAATACAATTTGAAATTTCTTTGACAAACCTAACGTCTGAACAAACCCACGCGACCATTATCAATATCCACTCGCCATCGCTCCTTCCCTAGTAAGGGTAGTGATCAGACCCAAGAGGCTATCAATAAACCACTACCATTCATACTAAGCGACACAAGCACTTCTGAAATATGACTTTGTTGTTCCAATAGGGGATAACCAACTTCCAAGAGATCTTTTCCTCAAAGATTCTGATGCACGGACTACCCTTACATCCCGTGAACACTAACCAGGTGGCGACCCTCTTACACTCAAATCCCAATCAATTATTTTCACCTCACATCTACCTTAAATTCCAAAAGCCAAACAAACTTACATTACAAATTTCTCTTCCCCATTGTTGAATTAACATGATGATCTGACTACTGATCTCCCAATGTTACTCCAAAGATAGAAATTATTCTCATTAACTGTCTTTCACTTTTCTCTCAAGTCAAGATCTTTCACAACATTCTTCTTGTTCATTTAATGTCTTTAAATTGATTATACTCATAGTTTCTTTATTTAATACTTGAGTACTCTGTTGAATCTTTACTTCAGGTCTAGACTTGTATTACCAGACATGACTGGAACATCAATTAAGAGCAGACACTGATCTTTATGATTAACTCAAGGTTTGAGTTTTCAAACCTTGTCCTTGCACATTGATTCTTGTACTCACAAACTAGCATTCCAAATGCCTTATTCTTGATGGTGGATACTTGTAGAGAAGATCATACTCTTTGATATTTCTATCTTCATCAACACCCCAAAACCAAGTGGTTTCAACGGCTCCAAAGGTTATCATTCTAAAACACTCTATGATTGTTTTTAATATCATTCTAACATCTATAAATGGATTCTAGATGGTTTGGTTTTATTATAAACTCAAAAATAAACTTGTTATTTTGAAGCTTTCGTTGCCCGGTTTTTATGAAGAACTAACTTATATTGTGTATCAAAACTCATCAAGGTAAATGTACATTTAAAATAAAAAAACGTTATAAAAGATGACATTTGAGCACAATTTTCGACCGTCACACCACTTGTCGCTATTTTTATGTAAAACTGATGTTAATGTGTGAAGTCTAATTTGCAATGGTGACTCGTTTTCAGTAAATTGTCATGGAAACAAGAATTAATTTGTAACCTTTAGTGGCGAGAAAATGAAAACCGACACCACCCGATTTTTAAAAACCGATGCCATATGTGAGTTTTGGACTAGTGTCATATTAGAAATTTATTACATTTATTTATTATTGAAATGATTATTCTGTTTGACATATTATACTTTGTGTAATGGATTATATTTTTTGTATAAGATATTTTATTTTGTATTATAAGACATTAAATGTGTGTTTAATTTGAATATTAGTAACTTTAGAAATATTACATGTTTACTAAAATCTGTAGAAAAAATCATGACATACAAATCTTTGTCAGAAGTTATAAAAAAACTATCAAAAATGTACAACATGGATTGCATGTCATAAATATATGACATGCAAATACATCTCATCTTCATTTATAAATGGGGCTTTAATGAAAAGCATTTGTGTGTCATCTATACCCTTTAATGTCATTACAGGCCTATTTTCTAGTAATGTTTATTTTTTACTTAACAATATTGTAAAATGTAATTCCAACACCAATATTAAAATCTGATTTAGATACGAAACAAAATCCCAAAAATGACAATATCAATAATGTACAGAATATGAGCCAACTCAGTGAATATTATTCTGAAAGAAAATAAAAGGATTTGGGAGAACTCTAAAAGAGGTAACCAACAATATTTGTATACCGCATCCATGAAAACAACATTAGTTGTAATAACAAGTAAGAAAAGGGACATGTGTACTGTCCCCATCAACAAAAGATTTCTAAGCAACATTTGTAGTAGTGGCACTAGCTGGATCAGGTTGAGTACCAAAAGGCTTGATCACTTGTGAAGTAGGATCTAACTTATTAATGTTTTCTCAATCCTGATGTGATGAATCAAAAGGGATATGCTGAAAAGCTTTGATCATAGACATAAAGCCATGAATATCCTTACGTAAAGATACAACTTCTGAATGCACGTTCTCAACAGCGGTGCTAATACTCTTGAAATCAGTTTCGGGAGAGGAGGTTATAACTCCGGCAACAACTTCATCAGAAGGAAGTGGTGAATGTGGCGGTTCATTAACTCTTCTTTTTTTACTGGCATCATGACGTTCTCCATCTCTACAATAGAACAAATATCAAAAGCAATATGTATAATTACCAAAATAGAAAAGAAAAAATTGTTATTGCCAATGGCGGAGTTAGTAGGGAGGTTGTTGAATGTTTGGCCTCATCCAATGATTTTAATCGAAATGTTATAAGCCCTTGTATACATAAAAAATATAATACCTAAAGACCACAACAAATATATTAATAAACAATATATTCCCCCTCTATGTTTTAATTATTAAATGTGTTGTGTAAATATACAAAATATAACTTTTACTCATTCACTGTCTCATCCCCCATACATACCTAATCCTCTAATCCCCAGTCAAACGACGACATCTTCTAATATATAGTTTTTATAATCATATGATAAATCAATAGTAAAAACAACCATAGATTCTTTTTTCAAACGAAAAAATGGTGTTGGGGAAATATGAGTCAATGTTTACCGTCATTAGAAAACTTTTGAAGATTGATTCTTATTATGACCGATGTAGCTTCTATTTAGACGAAAAATTCTATTTAGGCTCTCAACCCCTTATTCTTAAATTCTAGCTCAGTCATTGGCTATTACACACATGACCCTATATGTCTCTATACATGCCTTGGAGCCGTTAAAGTCTAAGGTCTCATGTGATAGTTTCTGTCCGGGAAAGTGCTGTCTGGAAAAGTGTTGTATGGAAAAGTTTTCTGACTTGGAAAGAAACCATGTTGTTTGATTGTAATCGACTATGCTGAATGATGAAAAATGACAATATTACCCTGTTGTTTTATACAGTGATGGATGAAGTTGCTGAATAATTATAAAAACATACAAATTGTCATACAAAATCAAAATTACACAATAATCATTTGAAATCCAAATAGAATGTCGATTAAGTTGTTTTTAGTTTATTGTTTTTTAAGTTGATGTTACATTGTTATTCTTGCTAGAAAATTTTCTTTTTTTATAACTCAAGGTGTGATTCTTGACCCGGTTTATGTCCGATAATGGTGGGATGAATGAAACTTTTTAAATTATATTAGGATGATGATGGTGTTGCCCAAAAAATATAATTAATCCAATAAAAATGAATTATAAAAATTAACTAAAAGAAATTAATAATCCAATAAAGTAATATTTATTGATATATAATAATCCAATAAAAAAGAATTAATCCATAAAAATGAAATAAAAAAAGAAATTATTTAAAAGAAATTAATAATCAAATAAAATAATATCAATTAAGACATAAATATTATATATTAAAATAATATTTATTAATATATAATAATCCAATAAAAAATAATAATTCAATAAAAATAAATGAAAAAATTATTTAAAAGAAATTAATAACTCAAGAAAGAAAGATGAGAGGTTTGGGGCACAAATGTCTTTCCAACCTATTCAGCCAGAAAGATATGGTTTTGCAGCTTTCTGGGAAAGACATATCTTACCGGAAAAAACCTATTTTTTTGTAAATATCAAACAGTCTTTTCGGTCCATTCAGTCAGAAAGATCTGTTTGGACCTAGAAAGATGTCTATCAAACAGGACCTAAGACATATATATATATATATATATATATATATATATATATATATATATATAT